AGAGAGAGAGAGAGAGAGAGAGAGAGAGAGAGGGAGAAGGCCACCAGAGCCACAGACACTCAGCACTATTTCACCAAACCAATTATCCACAGAGCTATAGCTCAAACTGATATAGTACATTTTAAAAAGAAACGCACACACACACACACACACAGATTCACACACACACACACAGGTATGCATGTTTGCGAGAATGGTTACACACACACACACACACACACACACACACACACACACACACACACACACACACACACACACACACACACACACACACACACACACGTACACACAAGCCCATATCTCAGTGTGATTTGTTCTGATACAGTGGGTCCAGTGGGTGGTTCTCAATCTGCTGACAGAGACACACAAGCACCAATTTTACAGCCTTAAGACAACTTCCTGTCCTCCTTGGAGCAAACAAAGATGGAGCAAGGGGCAGAGAGGAAAGAGATTAATGGACAGAAATTGCAAGAAAAATTGGATGTGAAAAAGTGTGAAAGGTGAGGAATATGGGAAGGTTGTGACTGATGTGCTAGAGTAACTCAGGAAGAGATGAATTATGGGAATCTAAAAGTTCACCAGCTGATATATGGTGAAATGATTTCCTTTTTTAAATTCTGCATACAGGCGCACACATGCACAAGAACACAACTGCTTCTCAGAATAATGTTTCACATCCAAAAGTTTGTTTTCCATTTGTCCTTGCCTCCCATTGCTATTTAGTCAGTGCAGCATGCAATGTCTTGGAGTAATAGATGAACCGCTTCACTATTCCTACACTGTTTTTTCATTGCTCCCGAGACCTACTACATTATATTTAACAGTGGATACTAATACATATTTTTTTATTTCTACAGTGTTGCTGTTGTGTAGCTTTTATTCATGTTTTCATCAGCACATGGTGTTGGCTTAGTTGTTCAGAAGTTCTTTCAAGAGCATTTTTCTGGCTAAAAAGCTGAGTTTCAAATTTCATTCCTGAAACATTTCCCTATACTGCAGCTTTTTATAAAATCTTACAATATTCTACTGCTGATGTGGATAAACATTGCTTTATCATTGCAGTATTCTCAAACCAGAGAATTCGAAAAATATAAATGTGTACATAAAAAGACCTCTGTCTAGTTACGCTTTGTTTCGAGGGACACAGCATATACTGGACACTGCTGAGACCAACATTGGCTGCTAATTCTAATTTATGAACCTGAAGGCCCACTGTGCCTCCCAAAAGTAATTACGACATAACATTTTCCTTTGAGAATTAGAAAACAGCTGACTGAAGTGAAGAGTGTAATACGTCATCTCTTTACTAAACATAAATCTTGCACCAGAGAAGGGCAAAACTGAGAGACCAGGAAAACTCAGCTGATGGAAGCTCACGCTGTGCTTGATCATCATTTTTCCTGGATCTGATTTGCATGTCCTGATTCTCCTACCAATTTGATTTTGGTGCTTTTGTTCCACATTTTCCAAAAAGACGTTATCACAGCACAAACCATTGTATTAAATGTTTTTCGAAAGATTGTAACAACAAAAGCGCCATCATTGGGATGGAAGGTCAACTTGAGAATAATATTTTCTTGGGATTTCATTTTATTTCAGCCTCTATTTTGGCTTCAGCTTTTCTTTGAAAACAAACATTTCTTCTGTAAAACAAAAACATTCTGTTTACCTTCCTGACTTTTTTCTTCTTTTGTTTTCTTTCTTTGTGCACAACATGTAGTTTTGTTAATTGGTTTGTTATGTGATTCAGTGATTCACTACCTTACTATTGATAATGTATAATAACACATTGTAGCCTGTCAAAGTGTCGGCGTGTTATTGTATTGATGATGTAGGATTAAGTGGCTGCCTTTTATGAAGCTGTGATCAAATGTCAAGAAATAAGAGACAAGTTATAGGATTGATTAGTAAATTGACATTGCCGTCAGTTTAAATTGTTTTCCCAGAACCCAGAAACAGCAGAACAACATAGACTGGTAATTTTGGTGTCAGATGTGATTGGTTCTTTTGTCAATGAGGGAGCATTTGTGAACACTGACAAAGAGCCTGACTGACAAGTGAATGAAGATGAGGAGGAGGAGATAAAGAGGGCGGGACAAATACAACTTGCTTAGATGGAAGGGGCGACAGGGGTATTATTCTACTGCTTTCGCAAACTGTGACTGGTGAATCATTTATTGGAGCACAAAAGTGTAAAAATGATTTCATAACTTGATCCGTATTCTACGATACACACCCGGCACATATACAAATGCACACAGATATATACAAACGAAAAGCTAACCCCTTTAACCGCCTTGGATAGCCATTAAATATTAAATCAACAAAGCTGCTGTGAGACGAGGTCAAAAAATACATCACACCTGAACACACACACACACACACACACACACACACACACACACACACACACACACACACACACACACACACACACACACACACACACACACACAGGCACAGCACAGAGACACAGAGGTTACACACCATGCACGGCATCATTGATTTTCTGTTAAGGACCGCAAGAAACAATCAGTAAACAATTTACTATTCAGCAAACAGTTATTTGAATGCAAAAAGATTAAAGTAAATAAAAACTGTTTTTCAAAGTCAGATAATATAATCCAATCAGTTGCTCGTGACTAAATGATTCTGCATTTAAGCTTCGAGGTAGTCTTTCTAAGAATTTACAACTCATCATTTTCATTTTAGATGAGAGAATCAAGTAATTGTTCCGTCATGGAGGGCAAGGACACTACATAATACGCTTTGAGTGTTAGGCTACATTCAAGACCTTTAGTAGAAGTATATTATAAGTCGCACAATACAATTATTTTTGCTTTGACTTATCATTAATAAGTAATTATTGATTACACAATGTAATGGTTATGACTAATGAAACAATATGCGTTAAGATTAACAAATAAAATGAGTTGTTCATCACCAACTACCCGGTAAATAGCTTTGAAGGTGGTTATAAATGTTGTAGGTTGTTCCAAAATATGTCAATGAATCAAATTGCTTTTAAGGTTGAGCATATTTCATTGATTGATTTGTCTGCTATATTCAATAAAACAACCAAAGGCCAAAGACACAAGGCTGATAAAGGGGATGACATGCATCAAAGGGCCTCGGGTAGTGTCCTCACCATGATGTTGTTGTGGATAAAGCCCTTGCGGTAGCGGGCAGGTTTGAGGTGAGGGTACTCTTCAGTGCTGGTGACCTGAATGTTCCACACACGTCTCCACGCCTTGTACAGCTGCAGGTGAACTGGGTACACACCGGAGTGGTGAGGGGCCACAGCGTAGCCCATGTCCACTGGGATGTTGTGCTCCTAGAGATGGAGGACATACATACGCAGAGACATATATGTGAGGGTTATATACATAAACAGAAGTTATGGCGCATTTACAACTCTGACAGAGGACATGGTGGGACATAAACACCGGGCCCAACAGTCTGACCTTGTACAAGAAGCGCCTGGTTTGTGTTTTGTTTGTTACGACGGCGGCCTTCGGGTTGAAAATAGTTTGTGTGAGCATGTGTATGTGTGGGAGTGTGAGGGTGGATGGTGCCGGGTGCATCTTGCAGACTGATGGTGTTGTCCTTCGCTCTGACACACACCTACACACACTGTCAAAGCTAAGCATCAGCGGTCAGGGGATGAGGGAGTGGAATGTGTGTGTGTGTGTGTGTGTGTGTGTGTGTGTGTGTGTGTGTGTGTGTGTGTGTGTGTGTGTGTGTGTGTGTGTGTGTGTGTGTGTGTGTGTGTGTGTGTGTGTGTACAACAGAGGTGAGGGATCACACTTTATGATCGCGTTCACCTTCAACATCATGAACCAACCCCCCTCTCTGCATTGTATGTGCGACAGGGCATGATCCTACAGTTTGGTTGAACTCAGTCACACATCTGCTAACAAAGCAAAGGAAAAGAATGCAGAGGAAGGCTAGAATAACCTGGTGGACTTCAGATAAAACTGGGCTCAGGTGTGCCCATCTGAATAAGTGCATCGCTGCCCAACAGGGATATTAATGTCGTTAGTTTGTTTTTTACAGCGGAGAATTAGCACGACACTCTGTTAAAACATTCTTCTTCGCTGACAGAAATACAACTATTTTCCGAGCACCGGCTCATAAAAAGGAGTTTATATGGAGGTAATTTTCGTTAAGAATGTAATTCAACATATTTGTGCACCTTCAAGACATTCACAGGTTTTCTTTACAGTATTAGCTTGTGAAAACTAAATCAAAACATAAACAATTAGACACAGGAAAGTAATCCAAGTTTACAATTTCAACACCAAACTTTCCGCGCTACAAAATGTTTTTATGCAACATAAACAAAGAAGCATTTTTATATTTCCTGTAAAGTAGTTCATGTAACAAAGTGTATTGTTTGTGTTAGAATAGTTCCAGTGATTTGACCTGCAAACTTCATCTCAGCAATCTGCTGTAGCAAAGGAATAGCAATTACTAACAGCAACAGACGTCCTTGAAGAAAATGCAATCATGGGAAGCGAGCATGATTAAAAGGACACACAAGAACAAAAATGCAACAATAGAACAAACAACTGCAAGAAATGAGTGTGCGTGTCTGAGTGTGCGCATCCATCTCACCAGAGCGAACTCCTTGTTGAGGACCATCTGCTCCAGCAGCGATGACTCGTTGTGGAAGAGGTGAGGCTGCATGTGGCTCCACATGTGGGGGAACCACCAGAACTCATCCACATACTTTAATAGTAAATCGTCTCCCTCGTCCTCCTCCACCGTGCCTGCACACACAAAACCCACACATGGTCACGCACACACAAGGACAAAAGGACATGGAACAATATGTATAAATGCACACTTCATGTAGATAAGGAGCATATTATGGACCTTTGCTATAGACAGCTTCACGGTGGCATGATGGTATATCATCACTAAGCAACTAGGTTGTTTTAAGGTTGGGTTGCTAAATAAGGTGGCGGTCTGATACCATGGTGACAAAAAGTCATGCCATAGCAATAACAGATGCCATGGTAATACGTTCTAGTCCGTATCAGCTATTTCCTAATTATAATTATGTTCAGTCACACATCTATTATTAGTCTTGACTGTATCTTACTCCTGTGTTCTGTTGCTGCAGATTTAGACGCTTTAACTAGAAAATCAATAAAATCTGTCCTTGAAACAACAACAAAGCTTAGAATGCACAGCCGTGTGTCCCCTCATCACACTTACGCCTTAAAGGTTATTTCTTTACTTTTATTATAAAGGTAAGTATAAAATATGTATCGTATTCTTTGTATTTTATTGTACTACAAGCTCTATCAACTTCATTACTACTACTACTATCCTGTCTGACGATTGTCCTGAAAGTATTTTCTTGCTATGGTAAATGTTATTTGGTAGATTAATTAGTGAGGACTTAGGGTGTAAAAGTCTTTATTATATTATAAGAGATGTTGTTAGTGTAAATAAACATGGACTGCAATGCCCATATCTACATTAGAGTAATGTAAGAGACATTTTTTTTACACCGGTACATAATAACATCAATTATAAAGCCATGTTATTTGATGAATATGTTGAAAGTTAGTTGTACGGTTTGTTTAGATACACAACATTGATATCAATTCAATCAACAGTTGACATTTGGACAGTATTGTGTAACCTTTCATGTTTCAAATACAGATTTTCCACACAACCACCTACTGTAAGAGAAATAGTGCTCTTTAGACTTTATCATAAAAATAGATTACTTATATTGAGTAAGCCAACATCATATCATGTTAGATTGGTATATAATTGATGGAGTGTGCTTGGTAAAAAAAAAGAAAAAATTCAAATTCAAATATAAAAAACAAGTGAACAAAAAATGGATAGCTCTTATAAAAGGCAAACTATTTTACCTCTTGTATAAAAACCAACCTAAATGAATAAAGTAATGTGTAGTGAATGTCCTTTATATAAAACATCACTCTAAATAACAAAAACCTTTCTAGACATGTTTTTGAAAGCATATTTATATCTGTTAGAGTTACTGTGTACATTTTACAAGGGTGTGTATATTAAGAAAACAAATACAAAGGACACACCTGTGTGGTAGAACTTCCCGGAGAAGCCCAGGTTGAAGGTGAAGTTGGAGATCTGAGAACGAAGCTGTTTCTGAGTCTCAAGAAGAGCCTGCAGATAGAGAGATGTAGAGAGATGTAGAGAGATGTAGAGAGATGTAGATAGATGTAGAGAGATGTAGAGAGATGTAGAGAGATGTAGATAGTCAGATAGATAGTCAGACAGATAGACAGACAGTTTATCAGGTTTATCTATCCCCAGTCAAAACGTACACGCACAAACACCTGAGACGTCTGATTCAGCTCCTATGCTGTATAATTGAGTGAACTCTGGTCCCAGCTTAGACAACTATCATGATGGCTATGTGGACTCATCAGTGCATATAATATGGTTTGAAAATGGCAGTCACAGACATGCTGTTACACACAGTGTGTCTCATTATTGTGTTCTGTTTTATTTGTGCACCACGTTTTTCCAGTGGCTGTGCCTGTCCTTAAAGTTACCTCAGTCTCTGGGTTTCAATACTTGAATCAGGATTTTCTCCACTTATTTAATGACTTCATTAGTTTACTGGCCTTTAAACAAAGACTCTGTAATGAGTGTTAACTAAAGACAGTTGCACATTGGCACACACACTCACACACACCGACAGTAATGCGAGTTAATGAAGGTCAGTGCATTAGTAGCCTCTGGAGGGTGGACTAATGACCCCCGCACACACTCCTCCCTTCTCATAATTCTCTCCATCCATCCCATAACACTACCAAGTAAAACTGTGCCCCCCCCTCTCTCTCACTCCTCTCCTGCCTCCTTTCTTTCTGATTCTCCCTCTATTCTTCCATCTTCCCGCTTCTGAGAACCTGCAGTCGCCTTTCTGCCCCCCTTCCCCATTTCTCTTCACTCCCCCCCACCCTTTTCTGAACCTCCATCTCTCCCTCGCTTGCTCCGTGAAAATGTCACATTCTCAGGAGACGGGGCTGTTCTAATTTGAAAGGAAGGCTGAAGCAGCATGGAGGAAGGAGCGCTCTCACTCCCTTTCTAAAACACTCTCCTCTTGCTCTTTCCTTTGCGTCTTCTTACTATATTGTTGCACTTTTCACCGTTTTCCCCCTTCCACAGGTATTTTGTTTATTTATGAAACTCTTATAACTCCTTGTGTATTTAGGTCTACACGGTCTTTCTGTTTGGTTATGTGCCACATCACTATTAACAATTTTTGTTATGCTGCTTTTAATCGTTCCCCAGGAACCCTGCCTGATTTATGAGACCTGAGCAGCTGATGTCAGAATAAGGAATCGGTTCCAGGCAGACTCTCACTCTTTCTCTCTCCTCCTATGTGTGTGTGCGTGTGCGTGTGCGTGTGCGTGTGCGTGTGTGTGTGTGTGTGTGTGTGTGTGTGTGTGTGTGTGTGTGTGTGTGTGTGTGTGTGTGTCTGTGCGTCCTAAACTAACAAATAAACAGACACATGCACACAGTGTCTTCATTAGCTCTAATCTAATGGTGTTGAAGATGGCTGCATGCTGACAGATGTGCACAGCTCCCTAATCTGATCCCCTGTCTCCTCTCTTATGACATCCTCTAAATCTTACACACACACACACACACACACACACACACACACACACACACACACACACACACACACACACACACACACACACACACACACACACACACACACACACACACACACACACACACACACAGGCCAATGTGTGAATACAGAGACACAAGATTTAAATTAACTTTATAGCCGACTGCTTTGCATTGTAACTCAATATACAGTACACTCCCCGATGCACTTGGTCGCAATGCATTATTAACGTTTGTTGGTATCTGTAAGACTCAGTGTAGGTGTGTGTCCAAGTGTGCAGTATATTAGTTTAAACACCTCATTTGTATTCTGCTACCTAACACCCATAGCAGAAAACAGAAGAGCCACACAGAGGACCAACCTTTGAGATGCGTCACGGCCACAAGTGACCCTACAGGTGCCTTTGCATGTTTTAGCCCTTTTACTTTCGCAGTGAGCATTTTATCACCTTTATTTCTTTCTTGGGAAAGTTCTATGTTATTGTGCAGCAGTGCCATTGTGAGCAGAGAACAATTGTTAAAGCTCATTTAGCTGACAGATCCAGAGCATCAAAAAGAAAACTCTCAAATTGGCCAGTTCTCACATTAAAGACGTTGTTGTTCAGCAGCCAACGCTCAAATCTTTCAGTGAACAAACAAACAAGGGCCTTCTCTGTTAGTAACCGAATAACTTAATATATGAAACTTTCACAAGCCACAAAATGATAACTGCAATGGATCATCTTTCTCAAGCAAGTTTTAAGTCTCTGCAAAGTCTTTTTTCAAAACATTTATTTTGAATGGCCTACATTTAATAATAAACAGTTTAGTTTTGTACCATATACTGCTGATAAATTGAAAGGACACTACTGACATGTAATCCATTTAAATATTTCAAAACAAGGTTTTTTTATATTTCAGCACTTTCACTTATTTTACCTTTTCAAACTGTTTGAGATTTGATGGTGAATGATGACTTTATTTAACTCTAACCAATAACTGACACTAATATTGTTTTAATGGAAACAAAAACATGTTTTTCTTAACACTAGAACAGCCAACGGGTCAATTTTACTTTAATTTTTGATTGTATGTAACTTTTTTTCAATAGAATATTAAGGTCTCCCAGTCCGTGACTTTTCCTGAAAGGGTGTTATGTAGCACCCTCTGATGTTAAAAATGGTCAATATGAAGAGAGAGAGAGAGAGAGAGAGAGAGAGAGAGAGAGAGAGATAGATGGATAGATAGATAGATATACAGATCAATAGATAAAGAGGGATAGAGAGTGTTTTGTTACCTAAACAAAACACAAGTCTAACACCAAGTGTTTAAATCAGCACTTGTAGCGATATTTTATACTTCATGCTATCTGCACAAACTATATCATATGAAAAGCTGAGAGTCCATATATTCTATTGGTATAAATGTCATCCCTGTGCGATCAAAACTCACTGTTCTGTATGATAAATAAAAGAACATTGTACCTTGCAAATCAATAGCGGGTACATTTTCACTCACATTTGTTCACTCTCATCCAATATCATTCTGTTAGGTGATGCTAATATTCATTTGGACAAAATTAATCTTTCTCTCACTAAGGACTTCATCTCATGCCTGGACAGCTTTGGTCTTCAACAACATGTTGACTTCCCTACTCATTCGAAAGGTCATATTCTGGACATAGTCTGTTGTGCTGGTGTCACTCCCCTAAACTGTTCTGCTGTCTGTCTCCCCTGGTTAGTGCAGTAGTCAACAATTGAGGACAACCTCAAAATCCTTGTAAACTCCAACTTTGGTCCTGAAACTAAAGGACCATTGTCATGTGCTCCTCCCCCCCCACTTCCCACCTTTCTCCCAAAACCCTCTCTTTTGCATTATCGACCCACCAGAGGGGCGTATCGGCACCTTTTAACGCTACGAATACAAATGCCCTTTTATGCTAGTTCCCCTTCCCCCATCTACCTACTTCTTTCCTTACCCGGGTTCCTGTCCGGACCCCCTTGTGGTCCTTACCTCCCCTCCCTACCCTACACTACTAAAAAATTGACTTACTTGACTCATGCCTGGCGCCTCTCTATACTTCACTTTGGTCAGGATCCCCAACAGTCTATTTCGTTACCTACATTCCAGGCCAAGTTCCCTCCCACCTCACCCTTGACCACAGTTCGACGTGACTTTAGTCCTCCTACTCCTGCATTAACAGGGTCTCCATCGACCGTTAGTCCCCAGCCCAAACCCACTAAAATATTCTCTCCGACCAAAGGGAACCGATGATGCACTGCCCCCCGCTTTTTGCCTGGACCTTTTGACAAGTATTTGCAGATAACCAACCCACTCTCACACAAGACCTAGGACACCTACGGGTTATCGATAAAAGATCATTAATAAGTTCGCTCTTGTTCCATCCCAACTCACCCCGCCTCCAAAACTCTACAACCCTAGATCTGTTCAAAGAAATATTGCCACAGCCCTGGGACGTAGAAACTCCCCCTCCCCTGTCTTGGTCTCCCACCCTTCCCCTCCTCAATTATGACCGTCAATAGTCCCCGCGTCACCTCCCCTCCCTCCCGATATTGGGGTCCCTCCTTACCCTCCCCAGTCAACCGTCCACCACCGAACCTTAATGCCTACTAACCTATTAGGCGTCGTCTCCCTCAAGCTTCGGTCCCTCTCATTCTCTCCCCCCCCCACCCCCTGTTTTTTCCTGCCACCTGTTGACCTCAACACTCCAGTCAACGACCACTAACCACAGATAAAAAACACAATTTTTTACTGTAGTCCCTCAACGGCACCCAGTCACCTCCCATTCAAAACACCCCCCCTCCCTTTAGTCCCCCCGCCCTTCACTCAAAACTGGTGGACTCAGAACGTCCCCCCGCGGACCACAACAAGGCGTCGCGTGGTCGCTCATTAAAAACGAGACGGATGTTTATAACCTAAACCGACCCCCTCTCCCGTAGAAAACCTACTACTCTCCCCCACCCCATACCCATGTACAAAACAAAACCGCCAACATGAACCACTCCTCCAGGGCCAAAACGAACTTTTTTCGGAGAAGTGGCCGCCTGGCTGGAAGCCGAAACGTCGACTGGCCATCCCCACCCACTGTCGGGTCCCGTCGCTCCGCCCGTCACCCCTTTACTCTTGTCAGGGCCCCTAAACTCCCCCCCGTTCACCCTTTAAATGTGTCTCAGACCTCTGGTAACACATATGGGTTTTCCATCCTTGCGGTCGCACAAGGCCCCATGTACCCCCACCCCACACCAGCCCTTTTGTCAGTTATGTCCAAACACCTCCAGCCCAATGTAACTACAAAAAACTATAATGCCTCTCTCCCTGTCATCCACGGCACCTGTCAAACTAACAAACTGTCACTGTCTGAATCTTAATTTGCTACTTCTCTCGTAAGCCANTGGAACCATACAAGATGTATTCATTTACAACCCCTACATTAGGAATGTGTGCATATATTACAATTAACACTAGAACCGCCAACGGGTACATTTTACCCGCAGCTGTTTTTTGATTATATGTAACTT